ACAGCTGCTGTGTGATTGTCAAGTCTCACGTTCCTGTATAAATGGAAGCAAGTTTGGTTCATCCACACTGACATTGCTTCATGAGTTCACCCACTTCAGTTCCCAACTTTCTGTAATTCCCAGTCTCTCCAAAGACTGAGAATTTACCTCCAGCCTACTCCAAGAACAAAATGTAGTGCTCATCTAAGAGTTCTCATTTAGTCAGAGAAGGAAGAGGTTTGTAGAAGCCCAAGCAGATTTATTTTAAGCTTTCAGATTATACTGCAAAATGGTTTCATTTGTGGGTGGGTGAAGTTAAGATCAATAATTAAACTTGCAACCACGGAGGCTGGAAGTAGAGCTCAAGACTCTCGGCATATTTCTGTTAGGGAGCTGCCAGGCGCCCCTCCAGAATATGAGTGCTAAGTAAAAAGCACTCCAGCAGCCACACCAAGTATTTATACTCACTCCATCAGGCACTAACACAGGCCTCTGGGTTCACCAGAGCGAATCAGATGAGCACAGGATCACGTGAAAGCAAGCTTTCAGTGAGTACAGCGAAGTTCCCAGCTGGAGTTCGAATGGCCACCTCCATGCATTAGCAAATTTCAAGCTGTGCATTGCAAGCCTGGTAATTCACATTCACTCTGCTTGATGCATGCTACCTGTAAAATAAAGCGCAGCTCAGCTGTTTACTCTTTAATATAACCAACTAGAAGTCAGGCACATCTTCCAAGAAGAAAAGCAAAACAGCTTACAGGCAGCTGGCCACAAAGAACAGTATCAGGTGGTCAGAGATGTCCGAAAGAGGATGAGCCTGATTGATCTCTAGGTGTGGCTGTTCACTCAGCTCCTGCAGCTGTTAGCAAGCACACAGCTCACGCTAAGCCCCGATATATGCTGGGAGCAGCACCATTAGATCAAAGCAAGAGCAACAGGTAAGCAAGGCAGGAGGGGCAGGAAGAGATAAAGGTCACTGCGTGGCCATTACCTGCAGCTCACTGCCTCCTGCAGTCATAATTCTTGCACGTTGATTGTCAGTGGTCTCCTCAGAATCCACTAACCCATGGAAATGGTACAGACCATACCTTCAAACTGTGAGTTATTTATGTGGCAACTCACCCAAAACATTTCTGAAGTGGATCCAACAGAGCCTGGACCTCTGAGGTTTTTATGCTTCCTGGTGTGATTCAGGGGACACCTGAGCCGTGGCAGAGGAGGGAGGATAAGTGCTCACATCTAGGGAACTATTTTGCTTACAGGCACTGAAGTTAAAAGTCACAACTCAGAGAACTTATAAGAGAGAAACCTCATAAATTAAGTGACAAATTAGTGAATTCACGTTAGACTAGTGTGTATGAAGAGGACCGAACTATTGTTTGTCTTCCCTCCTAATGAGCTCATAAAACCAAGTCCAACGTACAGAGTGTGTTATCTCATACACTGGAGAGATCCACACAAACTGTAACACCAGCACAGGCGGGACATGAGGGCTTTCGGAGTGGCAGGCAAGAACCCAGCACTGGGAGTTAGCGCCCTGTGCAACAGCTGCCAGTCTGGGTGCAGACCACAGGAAGCATAACCAACACCACCCTGCTAGGAAGCTGCTTCTATGACACAACGCTAGAAGGGCTACAAAAAATACAACTAGAGGACAGCAGAAGTAAGCCATACAGGACACTACTTCTATTTCTGCACAGCCTGGTGCTTCCAACATTTAGCAACAGGCTGTTACATCTGCAAAACCTCCGTGGGGCTGCAACCCAAGTCGTACCATGTTTCTACAACCATTTGGGTACAAACACACAGCAGCACACCACGTACATCTCACCTCTGCTCCAAACCCAGCAAGCTCTTAATAATGCCTTTTATCCCCAGTGTCAGAGGATAGGGCAAATTCAGCATCAAAAGAGACAAACTTGTGAACCAGAGTGATGCAGGCACACACAACCAAACTTCCTTTTTTTCCTCCCCCCCTCCAGAAAAAAAAAAAAAAAAAATCCACGCTGACACTTCCCCATTGGTCTTACCACCTTCTGCAGAAGATCTGCTCCGAAAAGCAGACCTCAATTAGCTCACATGCATGCCTTCCAAAAGCTCTGTAAGAGCTGCAAAACTGAGCTCTTTTCTTTATTTCTGCTCTGGACACTGCCACGTACCCTGAGGGATTTCTTCCTCCTGCATGTTTCCTTCTCAGCTGATGCCAGGGGGTCAGCGCTGCTCAGGCTCAGCTTCAGCTTGAGGCTACCAAGGGTAAAAGGGTAAATAAGCCTGAAAAAGCTCGTGGTGGTCAGACATCAGGGCAACCAGTGTTTTGTGCAATTAGACTTGAGGGGAACAGAATGCTACAGCTAGAAAGATCTGGGCAGTGCAGAAATGCTTTGGAGATAAGAGCTTACAATTCACGTGTTTTGTTTGTCGCAGAACCACTGTGAATCCTAAGCATGTAGCCAGATATGTCCACTTCATTTAAGAGGTTAGATGCTGCTCAGAAATAAAGGTTTCCTGGCTGTTAAAACAGCTGTCTCCTACACATCAGGATGAAGACGTTATTTCAGACAATGAATATTCTGTAGCCCTCTTGATAAGACCCAAAGTACTTGAGAAATCATCTATTGCCACTCAGAGGGCCTCTGAGCCAGAGAAGCCACAGAAAATAGCAGACTGTTTCCCTTCCCTTTCCCACGATCCGCTCACTGCTCTAATACCATTTGCCACTGATCTTAAACAGAAACCAAAGGTTTGTCAGACTTCAAAGTCAGGCAGGGTCTAAGCTACTAGATTGTTGCCAAGTCTGAATAATAATAATAAAAAAAATAAAACAGCAAGACACATGCAGGTAATATTCCTGTCCTCCTGGTTCCTCTGACTCAGGATAAGGTAGCGTCCTTACTCAGCTGCTCCAAAAAGGCTAGAAAACTGTGCTTTAAAGAACACAAAGCAGCGATGGCAGAGGTTCAACCACTTCAGCCTGCGCAGCTGTGGCAGTGGAAATTGAAGCGCTGCTTTAAGGACGGAGAAACTCCCCTGCTCCTGCACTTTCCCCTCCAAGAGTATCCCAGTCTCAGGGCAGGAGGTGCATTTACCTTGCAGCAGTGTTTAGGACGTGGTTGCTCAGAGCAGATAACAAGAACCTGCAGTCAGTTCGTGGTGATGGGTCAGCAACTGTGCTGTCCCTCTGCTAGAGGACACACCTGCTAGAGGGTCCTGCTAAAGGGCCGTATTTCTTACAGAGGCTTACTGACTCTGAGACACCTTGACACAAGAGGCTTCGGCCCAAACTTCTCCTGCAGTGGTGCCTGTCTCCACCAGACCCTCCAAAAGAGACCCGTGCAAAGGCCAGGAGAACAGACGAGCACAGCTCCTATTCCTGGATCAATAAACAACAGATGCAGAGCTTTCAACCTGCGTCAGACGTGAATACGAACCTCCCTCTGTTACCCATCGACTGGAGCTATCTGCACGCTGCGAGCAGATGAGAGAGCGAGCCTCTCCAGGGACCAGCGACCTACCACCAGAGATCAAGATGAGGAGAGATACTAACCACCTAAAAGGCTCTGTTTACCTCCAGTTATCACATTCACTCTCCAGACTACTCAGACAGCTGAAGTGTGCTATTAAGTTTAGGAACACCTGTTTGCTCGCTGAAGTTTTTCACGAAGCGAGAAAGAAGTCAACCCGTTTGTTTCTTGCCAGTGCTGCAGGTGTGAAGTTGAGGAAAGGATAGCCTTCACACAGCAGAGCTGCTGGACTGCTTCCACCAGAAGGATCAGACGTTTGGCTTTTTCTGCTAATTCAGCTAGACGGAAAAAAAAAAAAAAAAGGAAAGAAAAGAAAAGAAAAAAAAAAAAAGAATGCTGCTCGCTTCCTACTGGAAATCCTTTATTCTGCAAGGCTCATTACCCCAGTGCCATTTCCAGGTCAACCAGGGAACTACTTTTAAGTCTGAAAATCCCTTACCTCGGCCACTTTTTGCTTTCCTCCTTACAGCACATCCATGCCTCCGAGCACCCAGAACAGGACAGCACTGCATAAAGCTGCTAGAAAACAGACTTCACTATGCTGCTGGTGTAAAAACCAGGCAAGAAACCTCCCTATCAAGGGGGAAGCAGGCTGACCACAGCCGGAGGCTGAAAACCTGGGCATCAGCAAGAGCCAGAGGGCAGCTGCCAACACCAACCAGTTGCTGCAGCCCTGTCGGGCAGCAATGGGGCCGCAGGGGCAAATCTCATCTCACACAGAGAGAAGTACCCTTCAGCACCTGCCCCGCTCCGAGTTCGCCTCTTCTAGGGAGCCATCAACTCCCGGGCAAGCATCTCGGGTGAAGGAGCGTGTTCCCAGAGGGGGAGTAAGCCGAGAGCAAATGCTGTGCACGCACAGCAGCATCTGCACGCACGGGTACGGGGCAGCTGAAGGGGACACGTGGAGGCCACCTCAGCCCATTCCCCTGGACGGGGAGCGTGTCAGGCTGGAGGGCAGCAAGCCTGCATGTTCCTTGGGCAGCAGGCACCTGGTGTCAGCCCTGCAACATCTCATGCACGCTGCGCTTGGCCCCGAGGTGCTCACACCCAGCAAGTTTCATCCCGAACTTTACTCTGGGTACCCCTTGCTCCCAGGACACCCTACCTGGAGGCTTTTCAGGAAGCCTGCCCACGGAGACACCGGTGTGCTGGCAGCACCAGGATGCTTGCACACCCGGGATTATCCCCTCCCAGGCCCGCACACACGAGCCAGGTGCTTCACCACAGACACACGCCAAGGCTTGGGGAGCAAGGGGAAAGCGAGGCATGGACACCCGTGCACAAGCATCCTTCCCCCATCCATCTATCCCTTCCTCCATCCCTGCTGCACGAGACCAGGCAGGGGCTGAGCCCCGGGAGGCACCATCACAGACAACCCTGGCAGAGCATCCTCACCCTTTCCCCTCGCACCCTCGGGTGCTCGCAAGGGGGGTGCTGGGGCAGGGAAGGGGGCGAGGAGGGGCACCGCGTCCCTTTACCCCCCTAACCGAGGGTCCGTACCTTGTCGGCGGCGCCGCGGGGCAGCAGCAGGTCGGGGCTGGGGCTGAGCGCCGGCCCCATCTCCTCGCTGCTGGAGGTGGCCAGGGGATGCGGCATCTCCCGCAGCGACTTCGGCCCGGAGGACGGCAGCGGCTTGGGGGCGCCGGGCGCCGCGCCCGACATCGCGGCAGGGGGGAGGCGGGGGGAGGCAGGGGGAGGCTCGGCACGGCTCGGTTTGGCTCGGTTTGGCTCTGCCCGGCTCTGCGGGGCCACGGCCGGAGCCTGCCCGCCGCCACCGCGCTGCCAGGCGGCGGCGGAGGAGGCGGAGGCGGCGGCGGAGGAGGAGGAGCGAGAGCGGCCCCGAGCCGCCCGCCCACGGGCTGCGGCCGCCGCCCGCGCCACCTGCCCCCGGCACGGAGCGGGAGGGAGGGAGGGGAAGGGAAGGGAAGGGAAGGGAAAGGAAAAGAAGGGAAGGGAAAGGAGGGGAGGGGAAGGGACACGCCGCGCGCCCCAGGGGCGTGCCGTGGTGTGGGGAGGGGGTTGTAGGGTCTGGGGGCGGTGGAGGAAAAAAATAAAAAAGAAAGGGGTAGGGAAGGGTGTGTAGAAAATATCGGGAAGGGTAGTGGGGGAAAGTGGGGGAAAAAAAATAGGTAAATGAACTGGGGAAAGAAAAATAGGAAAGGGGAATGAAGAAAAAAATTAAGGGAACGCACTGAAAAAAAAAAAAAAAAAGGAAAAAAAATTTGCTGGAAAAGAATTGGGGAAGGGTACTGGAAAGATATAGGAAAATGCACTTAAAAAAAAAAAAAAGGAAAAAAAGGAAAATGCACTGCAGAAAGGATTAGAGAAAGGCACTTAAAATAGGAAAAGGCACTAAAAATAGGAGAAGGCACTGAAAAAAAAAAGTTACGGAAAGGGACTAAAAAAAATAGGGAAAGGCACTAAAAAAGTAGGAAAAGGCCCTGAAAAAAAAAGTTAGGGAAATGCACTAAAAAAATAGGGAAAGGCACTACAAAAATAGGAAAATGCACTAAAAAATAGGGAAAGGCACTAAAGAAATAGGGAAAGGCACTACAAAAAATCGGAAAATGCATTAAAAATAGGGAAAGGCACTAAAAAAATAGGGAAATATACTAAAAAATAGAGAAAGGTCAAAAAATAGGAAAATGTACTAAAATAATAGGAAAAGGTACTGAAAAATGAGGAAAAGACGCTAAAAAATGGAAAAAGGCACAAAAAAATAGAAGGCACATGAAAAAAATAAGGAAGTGCATTAAAAAAAATAGGAAAATGCACTGGAAAAAAAAGTAGTAAAAGGAACTGAAGAAAGAAAAAGGCACTGAAAACAACCTAGGAAAGTGCACTAAAATAAATTAGGAAAAAGCACTGAAAATAAACTAGGGAGACACACTGAAAAGCTTTACTCTGATCCTGTGTGATAAACAATATATATACATATATATTTTATATATATATATATATATATATTTTTTTTTTTTTTTTTTTTCAGGCAACCTCAAATCCAGGCTCTATTATACTTTGATTAAACAAGCTGAGAGATGGCATCAAGTGCTGCAGAAATGATCCCTGCAGATTAAAGTCTACTGATCTATCTTCAGTTAACGACGTGATAAAGCATTTGTGACTGCTGAATAGTTAGCAAAGGGGAGAAAAAAAAAAATCATGGTCTGTTTTAAGACATTCCCCGAGCAGATAAAGCAGCTGCACATCTGTGATGAATTATTCTTTGTGAATAATTTGCTCAGCACTAACTGGACGTAATAGAATAACATGCTACTGGGGGAAGAAGAGACAGATCTCTGTTAGGCTGCTTTAATCCCTTACAGCTGTGAACAGAAATTATAAAAATACGCACTCGTATATGTGACCAAGCAGAGCTCGGATGCTGTGGGCATTTTTTGCCCACGTTTAACTTCTCCCGAGGGAGGGAGTGCAGCCTGCTGAAACAAAAAGGGCAGCGCTGCCACCTAAAGCTGGGCGAGCAGAGCTTTGCAGGTGTCAGCTCACGAGCAGGACAAGTGTGGGTGGGAGTGCAGCACTGTGGACTTCGGCTGCACAAAGAAATGCTACTTATCCTAGCAAGCACAATGAAAAGAAAAAAAAAAAAAATCCTTGCTGTAAGTAGCTACTTAATATTATGCAATGTTTGAATGCTGTTAACACTCAAAACCCCAAACAAGTCCCAGGCCTCAGTGAGAAAGAGGCTGTGAAGAATGCCGTGTTAGTTACACTTAAGAAACAGCAACTAATTTCTCGCTCAGGGAGAGGAAACAGCACAAACTAGCCAGCACGCAGGTTCGTCTTTCTGCCACGCTGCTCAGGAACCAGTTTCCTTCATCTGAGCCCATTTATGACTTCCCAAGAGCTTTTTAAGCATCCTCACCCAGCTGTTTGTTCCAGCTCCAACCCTTCACCGAAGGAGACCCGTCAAGGAAGCTCACACCAACACTGCCAAAATTCAGGAACCTGGGCACGCTGTGGCAGTGTGCGTGCACAAAAGACCCGCTCACTAAACCCATTGGCCTGGTGGGCAGCAAGCCGAGCAGCAGACCTACAGTACCCTGGGCTGCCTGAACAGCAAGCAGTGTAGCCAGCAGATGGAGGGTAGGGATTATCAACCTCTCCTTGGCGCTCATTATGCCACAGCAGAAATATTGTGTCTGATTCTAGGCCCCCTACTACAGGAAAGACACTGGGAAATTGGAGATGGAGTTCAGAGGAGGGTGCTGAGATGGCTGCTGGCTGGAACAGTTGCCTTGCAAGCAGAAACTTTGGGGACAAGGCTCTTCCAGCCTGGAGCAGAGACAGCTTCAGGGGCAATTAACTGCAGCTCCCAGTACCCCGCAGGGCAGGGAAGATGGAGGAGACGGAGCTGGGCTCTTTGCAGTGGTACACAGCAGGAGGATGAGAGACACAGGACATGAACTGAACGAGGCAATTCTGATCGATGTCAGGAGTAACTTCTTCCCCATGAGGGCACCTAAGAGGAACAGGTTGCCAAGAGAGACTGTGCATTCTCTGTCCTTGGAGATTTTCAAGACCTGACTGGGTAAAGCCCTGCACAATTTGATATGATTTCATGCCTGACAGTGTTTTGAGCAGGAGATTGGACCAGAGACCTCCCAAGGTCCCTTCCAACCCGAATTATTCCGTGATTCAGATAATGCTTGTTGCTGAGGTCACATATCTAGTTTCTGAAGTGATGTGAGGTCACCTCCCAACTTTGCCACATGCAAAGATGAAGTTCCAAGCTCTAGCAATTTATTTATTGGTTTAGCTCCCTATGAATACTGCATGGCCAGGCAACATGCCTCTCTGTTTGCTGATCACATTTCTCTGTGTTGCCTGCATGGTTTCTGCTTGGAGTTGAAGCATGTCATCCGTGGTCTTTTCATCTGACACAAACTACTTAGAAATGCTTCCAAAAAACTAACTGGATCCATGTACGTAAAATGCACTCATGAATGCAGCAAGCTGTAACCTGGTTGGAAAAAGTTCAGAAGACGTTAACGGAAGGAGTCGTATCCAGGAAAACCTAGAAACCTCATGATTATTAATACGGTGATGTTCCTAAATTCTCACGGAGATAGTCATGTTTAAATTTCAGAATTCCAGCACCTAGTGTGCTATAAAATCAAGGCAGTTAACTGTTGAGCAGTTAGCTGTCTTTCCTGTATTGATCCCTGGATCATTTCAATATGAATCTTCACTACAACTCATTTCTGGTAACAGCATGCATTTTGTGAAGCCAAGCAGACAGGTGAGAGTATCTATCTGTAAATCTCTTAAGGACTGAAGATGAGACTGCAAGGCAGGTGCCTACCTTCCTCTGAATTCAACGAGTACTAAGTCTGTAAATATCCCCCCAGGCAGCAATGTAGGTGTAACAACGATGTATATGCTTTAAGTAGCAGATGCGAACTATCATACTCAGAACCAGAAGAGTTAAAAAATGAAAAATCATGAAAATACATGAAACTTAAACTTGTTATTTGTAAAGTGTGCGACAGACTGACCTTTTCTTTGCTGTCTTCTCTGCAACTTCTTACCACATGCAGAAGCTCATTATAACTTCCTCTTTAGCCATGAAAGAAACCTTTATTTATTTATTTATTTAACATGGTAGATGACAAGCTTATATAAACACTTGCTTCCAAGAGCTAGAACTCCAAAAAGACAGAAGGTAGAACATTGAAATACTTGCATTTGAAAAGCTAAGAGTCAGCAGCAAGTTCTCATACTTAGAACTAGTGATGGTTCGAACATTATCACCAGAGGAGCTAAGCAACTCCAAATATTTTGTGTATGAAACAAAAAAGAAAATAGGTATGCCATGGAGCTGACTTCTTCCACACACAGATACCTCTAAGTGTATCAGCATGTGGGTCATCTGGCTCCAGCAGCAGGCAAAAGAATGTACAGCCAGTAGCAGACAAAGGAAAGTATCTATTTTCCTAGTAATAGTAACATTGGAATAAACAAATGTCTCAATTCTGCTAAGAAGTTATGACTGATTAAAAAGATGGTAACGTTCCATTCTCCAGTTCCTTCTCCACACCACTAACTGCAGTGGTGTAATTTTAGGACAGTAATATTTTCCTCGACATACCTATTGGTAGTCTTCTTTTTGTAAACATTCACCAAGTTAAAAACAATCAGCACTTGAAACATGAAAGCAACCGAACAAAATACAAAACAGGAATCAAAATCGGTGATTAACTGAAAAGAGACTGAAATTCAATGCCCATCTCATAACACAGGTTAACCAGAAAAAAAGATTGCATGCTCTCCTACTAAAATCTTAACTATTTCTTATGTTTACTTCATTGCAGCTTAAAAACAAGATAAAACAAGACAGGCATGCGTATAACACTAACCAAGCAAGGGGACAAACAGCAAACGTAGGGATCAAGAATCTCATCATTTCAAGACAAAGGTCACCTGTTTTGTGTGTTTAAGTTTTCTGGAGAAAATATTTCTGCCTTTATATCTCTGAAATCAAAATCCTACAGGCTACCTCTTCAGAATTTTACCAGATTGAATAGAGAGGGGAAAGACGAAAAGTTTGTCTTTTCATGCCCCTGTGACAGGGGTATAGCAGGGCTGTACAGGGATACTTTTGCACCTCCACTATGGCAGTGTTAGTTTGTGAAGTACTCATATTACTTCTGGTGTTTAGAAGTGTTTTCTCATTCAGGGCTGAGATACATTACTATTAAGCATCTTTGGCAACAAATGGAGAGCGTTCTGTTTATGTTATATCTCCTGTTATTCTTACTGATGGTGGGACCAAGGCCAGAATAAGCAAGAATGGGAGTTTTGAACAGAAACTACGCAGTGCTTTGGAGTTGTATTATGTACCAAATACCCTCACAGT